CTAGCTTACATGTCTAATTTAGTCCCTTTATAATTCGAGAAAACAATTATCTATCAACCTTCACACACAATACAAGTAGGATAGAATCAAGGGATTAGTAGGGACTATGACTTCCTAATTTTTTTAATAAAGTATAAGAATTATATATTTTTGACTTTTTTAAATTGGTATTACATAAAAGCCTTAAAATATTATATGAAATTTTCATTTTAATTTTATAGTAATTTTTTCTGCATGCATAATCTATATGTTTTAGTAGCTCAAAGATATAGTTATTATAGAATTTATTTATTTTCAACAAGATAATGCTACAATTGCTCTTAAGATATTGATGTCATTTGATTTTACTCTCATTTTAATTAAAAAGGTTATAAGAATTATTACTAACAAATTTTGTCGAGCACTGTAGCAAAAATTTCAAAATATTAAATGCTATATGCTTGATATCTACCATAAAATACTTATCCAAAGTTAAGATGTTATGGTTAAGACATGTTCTTCTAGAAAAAAAAAACATAATTTTATATCCTTATACTTTGCTTACATTTTGTTATTTATCTTTGTACTTTTTTTGATATTTTTGATACCTATACTTTTATTTTTTATCATTTTATATCATTCCAAAGTCTCTATACTTTGCTTACAGAGGAACATAAAATAATAAAAAATAAAAATATAGGAACCAAAAACATTAAAAAAAAGTACAAAGATCGATGGTAAAATACAAGTAAAATATAGGGGTCAAAAATTATGTTTAAAATTTTTTTTTTAATAACCAAGCTATTAAAATTTATTATACGAATGGCTTTTACTATGATACACTCAGATATTGTCAACATAAAAAAGCTGTGATAATTAAACATGATTATCATATTGATATATTTATTTATTATAATTATTAATTAAAATAATTAAATAGTAAATTAAGTAATATATATTTTTAGATTGTAAAAAATTTAAATCCAAAGAACGCGTTTAAATCATCCAATACTCATGGAAAAAATGAAAAATCTTCACAATTTAATAATAATTTATATTAAAAAGAAATTTGTTAAAAATTTAATTGTAAACATAATAATTAATTATTTTTATATCATGAAAAATTGATGAGTTAATTGAAAAAATAATATATATATATAATTAAATATAAATATATATGTTAAAATATTTATATTATGTAAATTATATATATAAATTTAATTTTTTTATTATATATATTTTATCATCTCAATCCTTCTTAATAAATTTTTTTAACTGCACCCCTAAATATGAGGGTGTGGGTGCTAGTTCTATGGGATGGAAACATATAATAAACAAACAACTTCTTTCACGAGTCCCGTCAAGTTCCTCCTTTTCTCTGCTCTCGGTGTGTTGTCATTTGCTGTGTATAAATATAAGACTAATTTTTATGTGATTTAAGTATTATTTGGCTACTAAAAAAATAGGTTGAAAAAATAAACTAAATCACCCTCTCTTTAATAAACATGATAAAATTTATTAATTTATTATAAATGTGAGAATTATTATATTCTTTAAGAATATCATAAATCATAATTTTTAACTCCAAAAATTAAATTGCTCATTTTCTTTATAAATATGCTTATCTATCTTTTTTTATTATTTTATTTTTATCTTTATTTTTAAAATATATTCTGTTTCATTTCTTTCTAGTTGGTAAGTAACATCAGATAGAATCCGGGACGTCTTCCAAATTCTCACAATTTTCATTCTTCCAGTTTTTTTTATACCTATTTTTATTCCCTTCAAAATCTTTTCGCTGCAGTAAACTAACCGGTGTTTAGTCCCTATTATAGGTTTGGATCACATGCACTTCTTTAAAATAACCGGTGTGCATTTCTTCTTTTTTTTTATGATTTTTTTAAATATTTTCTTAAGCTTATAAATATTTTGAATATCTCCCAAAATATATTTTTTTAAAAAAAATAGCACACCATGCATTTGTTCGCAAGAATGCGTATTTATTATCCAATGCCGTGTTGTTTGTAATATAGTTTCTTCACCCTGTCAAAGCTTTGTGAAGTTACATGTTTTGTAATTTTGTGTACCCAGAACAGTGCATTGTAGTAAGCCAATAATAGCCAATCAAGACTCGTTAACAATTTCACATGCGAGGAGTGGAAGCGAAGCTTCCTATATGCAACGAGCACAATTCATTGCTCGGACAATTTACCAGATAATAAATTTACAATGTGGGTATAGCAATAGCTAGAGCCGGTAATTTTGACCAAGTTTAACAGGTCAGTGTAAATCCATTTGAAAAAAGTTAAGATTGAATTTGATTATATGAACTTTTTTAAAAAGATAAGATAATTTAAGTCGGATGAGAATAAGTTAACCCCAATTGAGCCCAAGTGTTGGAATTACTAGCTCTACATGTATGTATAGGCAGTAATTTTGGCCAAGCCCGACAAGCTAGTTCAAATCAAGTCGAAAAAAATTAGGGCTAAGCTTGATTATATGAACTTTTTTAAATAGTAAGATACTTTAAATCTAATTCAAGTAAGCTCAATCAACCCAAATTATCAGTTCTAGCAACAGCCATGTAAGTTATTCCATTTTTTTTCCTATTTTTTTTAAATTAAAGGTGAAATTGTGGGCTCAAATTTATTAGACTTTAAGTTAAAAAAATTTAGTTCTTGGTCTAAGTTAAAAAGTAACATAAAATGAGTTTAAAATTTAAAATATTAAAATAAAGGGTGTAAAATATAAAAACATTTACCACATACATGTAATTTCCCTCCAAGTACCCGTGGCTCCGTCACTCTCTTGTTTCGATCCATAAAGCAATTTTTATGCATGAATGCTCAACGGTGGCAAATTGGATTATGCCAACAAACAAGACATGGTATGTAGTTACTGATATGTGTTGCTGTTACTGACATGCATGAAGTATTGTAGTTCATGTGTTTGAACTTCGCACACCATTCAACATATCTTTGCAACTTTGTAATTTTGATGTTTCGATTATTTATGCAAGAGTTATAACACTTTCTGTAGGATTGTTTATTTTATACCAAGTCCTTTAGTTTGCACTTTTCTACTGATAAAGATTAATTATTTTCTCTGATATTTATGTTACACATACAAGTCTCCTTGGAACATTCCATGATGGGTGTATCTATAGTGGTGGAAAATCTTGTTAGCCTCCCAGAGATCAGTTTTTCATATTTAATTTAGTGACCGATCATGTTTAATTTTAAATTTGGTATTTTACAAATGAGGAGGGGTGAGGTATTTACAGGCCTCCCCTTAGATCTAGAATGTTCCCACCTCCTTAATGGACGGTGGAGATTAAATCTATCCTACGGTTACAATTAATTCTCTAGAATTCTCTTAACAAATATCTAGATATTTAAATGGAAGAATCTAGAGACAATATTAAAATATTGAGGCTAGAGTTGTGTAGGCTTCTCTAGAATGTTCTTGCACTCTCTAGCACTCTTAAGATTAGCTGGGAGCCTTCTGGAGGGTTCTGGAGCACTCCGGACCTTGTGAAAAATGACGAAACGTGACATTCTCCCCCACTTGATTTCGCGACGCCCTCGTCGCGCCTTCCTCCTTGTATCGTTGGATTTGGTCAGTGAACTGCTACAGGAGGTCTTCAGGTTCCCAACTTACTTCAAAGTCTGGTTGACCCTTCCACTTGATTAAGTACTCAGTATAGTTGGGAACTCCTCTCTTTCTGATCACCCTATCTGCAAGGATTTCTTCTATCTCCTTGTCGTACTAGGTGACGACCGTTGTTGGTGCTCTCTTAGAGATACCTCGAGATGGATCTTCTTCATCTCTATAGTATTTCTTCAAGAGACTAACATGGACGACAGGATGAATCTTAAGCTTGGGAGGGAGTTGTACCTGGTACGCAACCTTTCCCACACGTTTGATGATAGGGAAAGGGCCTTCATATCTCCTGACCAAGCCTTTGTGGACTTTGCGTAGTGACTTGAATTGATTCGGCAATAACTTAACCATGACCAAGTTACCGACTTGAAACTCAATGGGGCGCCGCTTCTTGTCTGCCCACTTCTTCATTTTTCGAGAAGCTTTATCCAGGCATGCACGAGTAACGTCGGCTTCTTGCCATTCCTTGGTAAACTTATAGGCAGCTGGATTGTCTCCCTTGTATGGTGTGGCAAGTGCGTTGGGGGTTAGAGGTTGTTGTCCGGTAACTATCTCAAAAGGGCTCTTACCTATCGACTCGCTTCGCTGCAAGTTGTAAGAGAATTGGGCCACATCGAGCAACTTAGCCCAATCTCGTTGATGAGCGCTCACATAGTGTCGAAGGTAGAGCTCTAACAAAGCGTTGATTAGCTCTATTTGTCCATCGCTCTAAGGATAAAAGCTTGTTGAGAAATTTAAATCTGTCCCCAAGAGCTTGAAAAGTTCTCTCTAGAATTTCCCGGTGAATCGGGGATCTCGATCACTGACGATGTTGCGAGGGATCCCCATAGCTTCACGACATGTTTGAAAAACAAGCGTGCCGCTTCATCAACCTTGCAATCTGCTGGGGCTAGTATAAAGGTGGCATATTTACTGAATCTATCAACCACCACCATGATACTCCCACATCCTTCAGACTTAGGGAAAGCAACTATGAAGTCCATGGAGACACTCTCCCATGGTATCTCAGCCACCGGCAAAGGTTCGAGTAGACTAGCAGGATGTTGTTGTTCAACCTTATCTTGCTGGCACACTAAGCAAGTTCTCACATATGCTTCGACATCGTCTTGCATATGTGGCCAATAGAAATGATTTTGTACGAGAGTAAGTGTTCTGGTCATACCTGGATGTTCAACCCATATGGAATCATGGCACTCTTTTAGGACATCCCTTCAAAGGTTGCCCTATTTCAGCACATAGACTCGGTTCCCAATGGTGTAGAGTATTCCATTATTCACCCAAAATCTTCGAGTCTTGCCTTCGGTGGCAAGCTTTACTAAGTTGCTTGCGGTTGAGTCCTGAGACATACCTTCCTTGATTCATTCAAGGAAGTCATTATGGGGCATGCTTGCTGAGAGAGTGGCTAACTCGGCTTTCTTGCTTAAGGCATCTGCCACCACGTTCACTTTGCCTGGCTTGTACTCCAACCAATAATCAAACTCAGCAAGAAAATCTTGCCAGCGAGCTTGCTTTGGGCTGAGCTTCTTTTGTGTTTGGAAGTAGCTCGTAGCAACATTGTCTGTCATAATAGTGAACTTACTCCCAAGTAAGTAATGACGCCAGGTTCGTAGACAATGGATGATGGCAAACATCTCTTTCTCTTGTACCGTGTAGTGCCTCTCCGTGTCATTGAGCTTTCGGCTCTCGTACGCAATAGGGTGTCTTTCTTGCATTAACACGCCGCCTATTGCAAAGTCTGAGGCATCAGTGTGTACCTCAAACGGCTTGGAGTAGTCGGGCAAGGACATAACAGGCTCTTGTACGACCATCTGCTTGAGCTTTTCAAAAGCATCTTGGCAATCTTGTGACCATTGCCAAGACTTATTCTTCTTGAGCAAATCTGTTAATGGAGCAGCGATAGTTGAATACCCCTTAATAAACCGTCGGTAGTAGTTCACCAGACCAAGGAATGATCTTAACTCTGGGACCTTGGTGGGCGGTTGCCATTCTTGAATAGCTTGCACTTTAGTTGGGTCCATCATGAGCTTCCCATCCTTGATCTTATGCCCCAAGAAGTCCACCTCTTGTTTGGCAAAAGAGCATTTTTCCAACTTAATATAGAGTTCGTGATCAGAGAGTACCTGGAAGACTTTCTTCAAGTGTTGAGTATGCTCTTCAAAAGTCTTGCTGTACACCACAATGTCATCCAAGTATACCACCACGAACTGGTCCAAGTAAGGGTGGATCAACTTGTTCATGAGTGTGCAGAACGTTGCCGGGGCGTTCGTCAGTCCAAAGGGCATGACAAGGAACTCAAATGCTCCATATCTCGTCACGCAGGTTGTCTTCGGCTCATCACCTGCGGCGATGCATACTTGATAGTACCCAGATCGAAGATCAAGCTTAGAGAAGTACCTGGCCTTTCCAAGCTGATCGAACAAGTCGGCAATCAAAGGTATCGGGTACTTGTTCTTGATTGTGATCTTGTTCAAGGCCCTGTAGTCAATACACATCCGCAGCGAACCATCCTTCTTCTTCTGGAAGAGGACTGGAGCACCATATAGGGCCTTGGATGGTTGGATGTACCCAGAATTAAGGAGATCTTGGAGTTGTCTCCTCAATTCAGCAAGTTCTGGAGGTGACATGCGGTAAGGTGCCAAGGCAGGTGGTTTGGTACCAGGCTCCAACTCGATCTGATGGTCTACCTCTCTTCTAGGGGGTAGTTTCTTAAGCAACTCGTCAGGCATGACGTGCTTGTGCTCCCGTAGCACCTCTTGGATGCAAGCTGGCAAGGTTTCCCGTGGCTTGGTTGGGCCATTCTCTTCCTCGGCCAATGAACGTACAGTGGCAATATACCCTTCTAAGTTCTTGAGACCCCTCTTGAATTGCAAGGTAGAAATCATAAGGTTGGATTTCTCCAAGCGTTTCAAGGGGATTACCCGAATCATGTTAGAGTCAATGACCACCATAGACTTGGCTTCGGGAATAGGGAAGGCATGTGCTTTGCAAAAGAAAGCAAGTCCCAATACAACTTTGAAATCATCCATAGGGACAATAGTAAAGTCTAACGTACCTTGCCAGTCCCCGATCTTCACCTTCACATCCTTGGCAATCCCAAGGACTTGTTTGGCTGGGGAGTTCACTGCCTTGATGGTGCCTTCTCCTTTGTTGAGTTGGATACCCAATCTCTTAGCTTCTTCAGCCTCCATGAAGTTGTGGGATGCTCCTGTGTCGAGCATGGCAAAGGCGGACTTGCCTTGAATGGCAAGATCAGCATAAAGTAGACCTTTCTCTTCTTTCTTAGATGGAAAAAAGAGTCCAGTCAAGGAATTCAAGTGTTGGAGGGAACCAAGGTCGATCTGTTGCTCCTTGTCCCGGCTATCCTTCATCTCAGCAACTAAGGCATTCATAGCCTTGCGGTTGGGGCAGTCACGAGTCCAGTGTGGACCATCGCACATGAAGCATGGCTTCGGTGACTTTGAGGCATCACGCTTGATTGAGAGTGGTTTATCCTGTCTAGAACTCCCACCAAAGAATCTACCACCATCCTTACGATCAGAGTTCTTCTTTTGTCCTCTTTTGTCTCCTCCACTATTACCAGGATTAGGCTTTTTGGACTTGGTGGAGTAGTCGATTATGCACTCAGCAGCAGCAATTGCCTCATCTAGAGTTTGCACTTTGCATCTATCGAGTTCTACTCTCGCTCAGTCTTTAAGTCCATCCATGAAGTAGAAAAGAGCCTCCTTGTTGGACAGGTCCTCGATCTTGAGCATGATAGTAGTAAACTCTTTAATGTAGTCAGGAATACTACTAGTTTGTCTCAACCTATGAAGCTTACCTCGAGCCTCTGTCTCAGCATTGTGGGGAACAAAGTGCTTGCGGAGTTCTGATTTGAACAGCTCCCATGTGTTGAGAGTGCAGATGCTCTTCTCTCGCTCAGCATGCTTTCTGCGCCACCATAGTTGGGCTGCATCCCGGAGAAAAGTTGAAGCATTGTTGATTCTGATCAAGTCGTTATAGACTCCTATGGCCTCGAAGTACTGTTCTAGGCCAAAGAGAAAGTTCTCCACAATTATGGCACTACGTGCCCCATTGTATATGGCCGGCTTGGGCACTTTCAGTCCCTGAGAAGTGGCGTTTGAAGTACTACCACTAATAGGGCTACTCACACAGCGATGATATTCCCATTCATGACGAATCTCATCCATTTGAGAGTGTAGACCTCGCACCTCATCTCTCACATATTTGCCGAGATCGGCGAGATCACGTCTGAGGGAACGAATGTCTTCCCCTAAATCATCGTTAAGGTCTGCAATCATCAACTTGGCAGCCTGCGTTATCTCAGCATTCTCTTGGATGAGATTGTTGAGTTGATCGTCGAGTCCCCCTATAGTAGTTCTCACTTCCTCCATGTTAGATTCCAAGCTAACAACACGAGGTTCAAGGGACTCACCTGCGGGTGCCCTGCTCCGGCCTCGCTCTCGCTTGGACCTGGGGTGAGCTTGCTCCTGTTGCGCATGAGCTTGCTCCTGTGCTTCCGTGCCAACGACGTTTCCTTCCTCAGTTGCCATCGTACAATACCTTCCTTCAAGCACAACGGCAGAACCGAGCTCTGATACCAACTGTCACGGGGCTAGTTTTTCGACCCGTGTGGTACTTAGACAATCTTCACTGAAAGTTGCTAAGTAAGCCTGACTTGTATGAAAGGAGGATACTTGGCTAAGTAGAGGAAAGGAAAAGCTTGAGGGCAAAGAAGAGTAGAGAGAGTTTGGAGAATGTGAGAGTTCTATTGCTTTGAGAACTCAAGGATGATTTACAAATGAGGAGGGGTGAAGTATTTACAGGCCTCCCCTTGGATCTAGAATGTTCCCACCTCCTTAATGGACGATGGAGATTAAATCTATCCTACGGTTACAATTGATTCTCTAGAATTCTCTTAACAAATATCTAGATATTTAAATGGAAGAATCTAGAGACAATATTAAAATATTGAGGCTAGAGTTGTATAGGCTTCTCTAGAATGTTCTTGCACTCTCTAGCACTCTTAAAATTAGCTGGGAGCCTTCTCGAGGGTTCTGGAGCACTCCAGACCTTGTGAAAAATGACAAAACGTGACATTATGCTCCCTACGTCCATTCTTCCATTTATTTCCATCAGAACTTATCAGGCAAACATTTCAGTGTATAATAAAGTTTACAAGTAATTTGTATAATAATTATCTAATATTTGAAAAATTGTGTCAAATTACTATAAGAACTTGAAAATTTTTGGTTAGTAGCTTGAGACCTTGCAAGTAGAGTTGGAAATATGAGCCGATTTAAACCATATAGGTTGTCCCATATTGAATAGGAGAAATGTGAGTTAAGTTGGACTCAACTTAATTTTATATGGACTAAAAAAATCTCAATTCAACTCAGGCCTTGAGGGTGTCAACTTATTTATTTTTTTTCAATTTATTTTTTAAAAAAATATACTTAAATAATGAGTTTCAGATTAATATTCTTTCATAATTCATTCTAGATCTACCAAAATATTAATCTATAATATTTGTATAAAATATATAAATTGGTTCAGTTAAATAAGTTATACCCAATATACTTTATACCTACAAAATTTTTCCCTTTTCCTTTTTTAAATTTTTTAAAAATAATATGGGTCATTTGTGCCAACTCTAACCCCTTAAGTTTAACCCATATGATTCATGATTATATGATCTGGCTCAGAAAAATTCAGTTTCTATTTTGGTCAATTTTCTCTCCTATCAAACCCGACCCTTATAACTGGTTATTCGAGCCAACTCACATAACTGAACCTATATTCTCAATTCTACCTACAAGCTCTTTTCTTGTTCTGACAGAATATTTTTCTTTCTGGCATAAGAATGTCAATGAGCAAAAGAATGGAAAATAAAAATCAAATTAATTACTGTTTTTGCCTTGGAACATGACTAATTCAACTTGGTTCTCCAAAATACAAAATCCTTAATTTTTTTTCTCTCTCAATAATTTTTGCTCACTCAGTACTACTCTTCCACAGCTAAAATCTGTGAAACTATTTCCTCAATTTGATCTTTCAAAAAAGACAAATCAGAAGAAAATAATTGTGAGCACCAAAAAAAAAACTTGATCACATTTCAAGAACTAAAACAGAAATTTAATCAAATATTAGTGGTCAAGATATACTATACACACACTGACAGCTTCCTGATTTTGCAAATAATATTCTCTGAGAAATTAGAACAAGCATGTACAAATTATCTCCACCAATCCTCCCTCATTAATTAATGATTAAATCACAAAGTAGAAAATCTAAGGCTGCCTTTGAATACCTTCTTGCAACATCTGACCCAGCCTCAAGTATAGATCTCGTTGTTCTTCAAATGTTAGGTTCATCAATATCTGAGGCAAATAACATCAATAAAATCATTTTTATTCAATTATTAAAATTTGATTTGTGATTCATGATATAATAACACGCAAAATACCTGATCTAAAATCATTTCAACTGAGAGACTTTGCGGCACAACAAATGATTGATGATAAATATATGCAAAAACTGCCATCACCATCTGCAAATAGAGCCAAACAAAAAAAAGAGAGTTGATAAGCAAGCAAGCAGATGGAAATTTGGGTTGATGAATGTTACCAGTTAAGGATCTTAAAAAATTAAAATTCTCCGTCAAGGAGAAAAAGAACATGTTATTAATATTTCACGAATTTACAATACACGCTTATCAAAGTTATACCTTAGTGTTCCCAACTTCACCAGAATATTTTCATTCAGAAATATCAACAAATTCAAAATACTATTATAGCATAAAAAAACACCACGTCATAAACTTCAAGGAGCATGGCTTGTAACTTCCAAAAACAGCAATTACTTATTTCAATGGTTCTAGTAAGATGTTTATTTTAAGGTCTTAACTATTAGTATTATGAGCTATGAATCCTAGAATGTTATTTTCTCTAGAAATTTCAGGCAGGATTTTTCCCCATAGGAGGAAGGGCTACACTTTATGAACCATTTTGAAAATTTTCTTTTTTCAATTTGGATAAGAATGAAACAGTATACTACCTACTGGACACAAAAAAAAAAAAAAAAAAAACCTATTAGATAGAGACACGTACAACCAAAAAACACTTACTTCACTATGATATGCAAATATACTAATACCACAGACATATGCGTAGCATTCCAGTTGATCAGGGTGGACTATGATATAGACATCCTAGTGGCATAAATTCATCTAACATCAAAGTGGCATTTGGAACTCGTGTATTCTAATAACTTCCCGAGCATGTAGAAACCGTATTACCGGGGGTAAAAAGAGACATACAAAGAAGTCGTCATTCTTATATTATTTAGAAATTAACAACACCAATTTTGAATTTTCTTATGTTTGTTATTTCAAACATCATACAAATAGGTTTCTCAACACCTGAAAAACTAAATTTCCCACGTGACAAACTACAGCTAAAAGGCTGTGAACCTTTTCAACTGTGAACTAGAAAGAATCGAGAGAATATATTTAGCATCTTTGGTTTACGGAAAATTGTTTTCTAGAAATGAAATTGGAGATTTACCTAAAAAGAAAAATGAAATAGGCACATTTCTCATTTCCTGTCTAGAAAGTACTTCACTAACTACCAAATATTACATTAGTATTCGTGATCATGTTTACTGTTAGGGCACATTTGGTATATGGAAAAGTTATTTGAAGGAAGGGAAAACGAAGAAAGAAAGCATTGGTATTATATTTGGTAGATGGAAAAGTGACTTTGCTGGAAAGAAAGCTTTCCATGTTTATGGGGAGATATTTCCTATTCCCATTTTGAACCAAATGGCCTTACGTGAGAATGCAGGGTGAGCTGAATATAATTATTACCATAATAAAAAAGAAAACAAAAAAAAAAAGTTCAGTATATGGCAAAATGAGCATGTCATTACAATATCATTGATAAATTCAATATAGTTTTGCTAAAACCAAACATCAAAAGAGTTTACCTGACAGTCCATTCTGTCAGTAATTCCACCATGACCTGGAATACTGTCACCAAAATCCTGCAGAGATAGGGTATACAGAAAAAAAACGTTAAATGCCAGCAACCAAATGGATAATGATAATTGCCCAAATGCTGAGTAACAAATCCAGACCTTTATTTTGAAAGCTCTTTTGAAACCACTTGCAAAGAAACCTCCAAAGGGTGCAATAATTGAAGCAAACAAGCCAAGACATAAAGCATGCCATTGAACTGGCAGGATTGATATCTCTTTCCAAGGAAACTGCACAATAGGAGATATTAACTCTTCAAGTGTTAAACATTGTCATCTCTTGTTTGCAACCCTATATGTAACATAATATTGACCTATCTTGCACAATAAAGCAGGCATGAGTTCAAGGGGATCAAGTGGCTCACCCATTGAGGAATAGTTCCTGGTAAAGGGTAAGATTCTGGCTTAAACAGTGGACCGGGATCACAGGAAAGCCAACCGGTTGATAAATCCTGCACGTTGTTTCCAGGGAGACATGAAATATAAGTTACTTGGATTTTGCACGATACTTCAAAAATATCAATTAGTTATGCTCAGTTAAAGATCTACCTTCCTTGGACATGTTAACCACTTGGAACGACCCATGATGTTTGCTAGCTGCATTAGCAGTTTTATATAATTAACACCTAATTCTTAAAAGAATGACATAGGTAGGAAGACATGTCAAGACAAAATTACGGACATAGATAAATAATATGTCAACGGTAATTTATTTTATAATCACATCAACACCAAAACAAAACAATGTGAGGGTGTGTGTCTCTCCACACCAACCCACTAAGCAAAGATGATCCATCATGATCATTTTCCCAAACATCATCAAAGTCAGTAAGGACTTAATTCCTGTGCATCTTTATAATCAAATTGGTAGTCAATCTCACAAGAAATCCTGTGCGTGCATGCGTGGGTGGTGAGACCTAATCAGTAAAGATGATGCCTCGTGATCTTTTTCCCAAACATTATCAAAGACAGCAAGAACTTAGTTTCTGCCTCTTTAAGACCAAATTGGTAGTCGTTCTCACCAGAAATGCAGAGGTTATGGTTGCAATGGATGCTCCAATAAAGCCCTCCCAAGTTTTCTTAGGAGATAACTTGATCAGTGGGGTTCTTCCAAAGAAGAAACCAAAGATATAAGCAGCAATGTCATTGATGACAATAAGTGTTGCTGGAAGAAGAAACCTGCATAGTGAGTTCAAGTGTTATAGAAAACAAGCAAAACAAAATCATCAAGTAATTATTTGACAATTTTAGATGCAGAATCTCCAGGCCACGAAAAGTCAAAAAGCAATCACAGTAAATAAAAACAAAAATTCTACTAACAAGGAAAACAGACATATCATCCCATGTACAGCTGAACAAACAAAAGAAGAAAAGAAACGGTTGCAGATGGGATCATATTACACAGAATAATCATACGCAAAAAGTGGAGGAAAATTAACGTTCATCTTCAACCTGCTTTCATTTTCAAAAATACAAGGCACGCAAGATATGGCACCATTCTTCACACAAAAATAGAAGTCTAGAACTAAAGGATAAAACAACTGAACTCAGCCCAATTCCCTTCACTGAGGCAAAAAGTTGGCAAGAAGTCATGTATGAAGAATCAAGTTCAAATTGATTGTGATATGGTTCTCCAGGATGAGGATATACTTATCTGAATAAAGAATAATATAATATCATTCCTCAATCATTAAAAAAAAAAAAAAGAATCATCTGGCCATCCATCCCATCTTTCATATTCCAAGGTAATGAAATGATAAATATTGAAGTTTCCAATATTCTGTTTTTTTTTTATAACAAAGTTTGCAATGTTCAAAACAACAAAAAACAATAGGTGAAGTGGGGAGTTGAGATAAGTTATCAAGATGAGAATATACTAATATGAACATCTCCAAAGGAACTAAAAAATACACTTCCATATAACTCCATCTTCCCTGTCCTACTGTTCAAATCCACATATAAGGTTATAACTGATAGGTATCTGCGTACTTCAGCAAACAAAGCCTATAGTTGATAGCTACAGCATCAAATTTTGGTCAAATAATTAAAAAAAAAAAAAGATTACTGTACAGAGATCATATAACATTCAACAAATCCAGGTTAACAAATATACTTCATAAGGATAAAGAAAGACGGCAATATGTAAGCATTGTGGAAAAGACAATCCTCAAAAATTAGTGAAGAGAAGTTCTCAACATAATTATAGCACAACATTCTTTTCCTTAAGAAGTCATATTACCAGAAAATTCCTTCAAAAATGTTTGCGACAGTGAAGGAAGATTGTGTAAACACAACAATCAGAATCATGTGTGTCCAAGCATACTGGCTAAATTGATACTTGTACATTTTCTTCTTTAAAGTGAGAATGAACCACATAAACCCTGACCAATGAAGAGAAGGGAAGTAAACCAAAGTATCAGTAGGCAAAGGATAGGTAAAAAAAAAAGAATACCACAATCCTAAATATCAACTAACAAGAGATTGGTCATCGATCTGGCAGATATATGGCACAAGCACCAGTAATGAATATTAATACACAAGATTGATATCCAAGAGTCACCTGCAATGTACAAGGAGTAGCAGATCGCCATATGATACTTTATAAGGCTGCTCACAAGCTTATATAAAACCTTGTCTGATGTCACAGTGTTGACAAGACGTTGACTCAGGATTCGTCCATATACAAATAACATTGCAGTGAAGAAGAAATGCCTGAGATGGTTTTAAAAATGAATCAATAACATTGTATAAAAATTGGTGCAAACAAGTCATTTAGTAACTAGGAAAAAAAATGATAGTTTATCTTGACAAGAACAAATAACACTCTTGTGCCTATGACGAGGACAATCAACTTGAGACTAATACCAATTTAATAGCCTAAATCCTGGCAGCTGCCTATCTTCATGAGCTCTCCTGAGTAAATTGAAAAGCTCTCTTGCCATAAAGATTTGAATAACCACCACCATCGCAGTAATATAGAGGTGACCCATATAGATGATTGAAGCAAAGCCAGAAATCATCCAAAATGTTGAATGTGCACGGATCCACATAGACTTGTATTTGTTCTTGTCATGAACAAGTAAATTGGTTCCATTTGCTTTGCCAACTTCTGGAATGGCCTGACAAAAGAAATCATCAATTTAATAACTTTTAGATAGTATTAGTAACATTTCTAGAAAGATACCAGTAGTAATTAACCAAATAGTGAAGTTATAATTACATCAATGTTGTATATAAAGACAACAATATTAATAAGGAACACAAAACTAATGGAAAAAAAAGGCTCTTGTCAGTCTTTTTTTTTCCCCAAGAAAAAGACAAAATATTTCGATTGGTTTCCAATAATTCCTTTCCTCAATAAGAATTTTAGAACAATTAGATAATGTTTCAAGTTTCATTCACATTGTAGGAATATCCAAAAGTGCAGGCAAAACCAATAACAACATGAGCTGCACTTAATGTAAATAAATAAATTTGACATAGATGAAAAACTTAAAGCAATGAACCTCATTTGAGCGTTTCTGATTTCTAGCCCGACCAGTGGGAGTTGATGGGGCATGGACATGGGGACTAGTATCCTTCTGCATAGCTCTTTAATCAGATATTACCCAATTCAAAGGCAAAATAGAAGGGACATGTGAAGGCAGAAGATATCAACCTGCAAAATAATTAAAAACATAAACGTAGCCTCTGGGCATACCTGAAAGTATATTTCAAAACTCCCTCACATAAAGAGACCCAATAAATCTGCAGTCAACTTCACAGAGCAAAAGAAAAGAGGACAAAAATGTCCAATTATATGGCATATTGAGTTAATAAGTTAGCTAGATACCCTTAAGAAACAAAGCATACATCCCAAAAATGTAGCTTTGGTAAGCGCACTGTTTAAATGCAGATTCTTTTTCTCACTTCAATCAACAAAAAGCTATATCCTCCACCAGATTTATAAATGTTACAAATATTAATATTTATAAATCTATTCTAACTTTCCACAGTTTATCTTTCATCCACCGTAAAATTTAAAACAATAGCTATCCTTATGTTACTAGTCAATAAACAAACTCCTGATCTTTCTTAATCTGGCATAATCTTACCTATCTCAAGTGTCTGATACATTGATATAACTTTAAATCAAGGGTTCCTTCCAATGCAGGAAAAAATTATGAATACCTTTGTTTCATTAATCAGATCAGTCTTTGAAAGCCCTCCTTAATTTTACATTTTTAAGGTAGATAATAAGTTTGTGGGGGTGGGGAGTTGGGAAATCAATGTTGAATTGTTGTAAGCGTAAACTACAAAAACAAATAAGAGTATAAACTTGTACTGGGAATACAAACTGAGGCCCATATTTTTTATCTTATTAACAAGACAACATGTGCCTCAAAATTGTCTTGTCCATTGGCGAATTACAAACCCAGAGGCGATCCTAATAATATTGAAATAAATGCATAGTTTGACCACAGATTATATGTTTTATTGTCACAGGAATAGAATACAATTCATGACAAACATCGTCTGAGTTGTCTTCAGTTAGTCTATCACTTCCTAATTTTGAGGATTACAACAATTACTGTAAAACCGTGGCCCCTAATCAGAATGTTCCACTATCAATTAGGTAAACTTAACCCCGCGGAAGCTTCCTCCAAGCAATGACTGAATATGTCCAATAAATTACCAACCCTGCATTACTCCAGGAAATTCAGATTCAGACTAGAACTTCTATAAACTCAGTATATCTTTCTAGCCGCTATGCATCATTCCTTCCCTTTCTACGAAGTTCCCAAATCAAACAAAGCTCTCAAGACTCTTTCCAAGAAGCTAACGAGAATAAGCCGCTATAAATCGATAGCATGCGTACTATATGAACAAGGAGGAGATAATTAATTTCACTGACAGATTATAGAGAAGAAACGACATCTAAAGAAGGAAACTAGATTCAAAATCAGAAACACTTTCTTCGCAGTCACATCTCAATCAGAGGGAAACAACTTGAACCATAGGATCAAACAAAAACATTGGAAGCGCCGACAAGAACATACAAAATAAATATCTATCAGTAAAAAGCGAAACGAAAAGATTGTGAAAGTGCAAAACCTTGTTTCGTTCAGCTGAGCGAGGAAGCAACACAGAAAATTTAAAAGGCAGGGAGGCAGACAGAAAGCAAAGAAAAGAATAAGAATAAAGAGGAGGAACGAGCAAAGCAAAACGTGAAAAGGCTTCTTTGTGACACTGGAATTCGGTTCCTTTACGCAGAAAATATTAAAAAAAAAAATTGCGTTTAAAGACTTAATAAAACTTTTGCTCAAAAAAAAAAAAGAATTAATAAAACTTGAACTAGATTAAAGACTAAAATACACTTAGTATCCTTCTATTATATCTTAATTACACAGAGATTTTTTTTAAACACTTATATAATTTTTTCTTAAAATTAAAATATATGTTATATAAACCTCCCTTATATGTTTAAAATTTCATTTTTATTCATGCAAACATTAATCAACTGTTAAATTTGACTTTTAAATTTTTAATTTTAAAAAATGTCTTTCTTTAACATGAGAATTATTTAAAAATTTATATTTGACGAAAAAATATTTTCTATATACAACTAAAAAAAATATAATAAATACATTTTCTAATTTTTATTATATTATAAAATTTATTAATTTTTATCATATTATAAATTTTTTTATCAAATTTATTGAAACTTATCTATGTTTTTTTAAAATTTCTAAAATCATATTTTAAACACATATTTTAGTTCATCACATGACATAAAATAATATAAGTTCAAAAGATTATATAAATAATTTAAATTTATAAACATATTTTCTTACAATAGAATTATATAACCGTCAAATAATATAATTTAAGATTTATTAGGGTGAGGAGAAAATTAGTAAATAAACTTTTTTAACATAATTTTTTAGTTAAAAATGAATTTTAGAATCTTTTCAGAATATATTTCTAACGGAGTTAATGGATTGAATTAAATTGTGTATTTTTAAAATAGAGAGAATGTTTGTGTAATTAAGGTAAAATAAAAAGGTAATTAGATTATTTTACTCTTGATTAAAAGATGTCAAAAATATTAATTATTTAAAATATTATTCAACATTAAACTTAGTTAAAACTATTTAACGTCATTATTAAAAATTGTTTTTAAAAAATAATATCATCTAAATTAAGTAAATAATTATTGAGTTAAAGTGCAAATTTATCAATGTTGAAAGTTTCCGTTAGAGGGAATTCGTAATCTCATTCGCGTAATGTTTCCTTAGAAATTTTAAAACTGGTGTATTATTACGCTAGCTAGAGTAATGATTAAATAACAACAACCCTTAGTTGAATAATTTTGACTAAAGTCAAAGGATAATCTTGTTCTAGAGTTTTTTCAGGATGAGCAATTAATTAGCATAATAATTTTTGGTTATAATATTCAAATTAGAAGAAGTGTAACGTCCCAAAATAAATTTTAAGATTTTAGAATCAAATATATAAAAAAATATTTTAAAAAATAGTCACGAACAGATCGTTCAAAACTAAAAGAAGGAGGAAGGTTCAGAAATTGATATCCAAGAGAGGGACGTATGGTGGGATGACATAACAAAGTCACAAACATAACAGAAAATGAAGGAAAAAGGAGGAAAACAAAGAGAAGTTATTGCAGCTCTGCTAGAACTTAATTGTTGACATATTGCGAGTCATTTGAAGTGGTTTATTTTAATCAAAGGTAATTATCCTAACCCATTTTTCTTAGTTGGGAGATTTGGGATTTCAAATCCTAGACATTTTCTACCAATTAAAAGGGCTTATATCATGTTAATGGGATTTTATTTAAGTTTTAATTAGAATAGATTCGTTATAACTTATGATTTTGAGGATTTAGAGTTAAATTTGGCTTGAAATTGGAGATTTGAAGAGAATATGACATTTTGGCATATTGAAACTTGATTTAATGGTTTGGTTGGGTTTGTTTCAGGTTGAATTTGAGAGTGATTGGTTTAGATTGTTGATTTAAGCTTGAATTCTCAAATGGACAATTTTGGGGATCTAAGTAGTGGCTAGGAAGTGGGAAATTTGTACAACTGAGGTTTATTATAAATAATTGAAGTTTTCAAAAGATTAGTTAATAAGTTGAATAACATTGGAATGAGGGGTTGGTATTGGGAATTTAGCAATAATTAAGATGAAGTTTAAGATATTTTTAAGGTTGAAAATAGCTTAGTTCGCCATGTTAGGCAATCCTATTGATAAATGTGGAACACTTATGAAAGGTTGATTTTGATTGGGGATGTTGGCAAGTGGAAACTTCAAGAGATTATATTGAGTAAGCTAAGGCATGAGGTAACCATAATTAATTTTCTTTTTATGCTTGTGTATTGTACATTTGAGTTGTTTTCATATTGTAAATAGTTGTTTATACTATGAAAATATTATGTATTATATTTATATAACTTCTTTAGCAAAATGTCAATGTTAGCGTTGAATTTTGATGGAAAGCACGATACAATTGTTAAGTTTGAAAAACTAGTTGGTTTAGGAACACACATACATACATTTGAGTTGGGAAATTTTATTATGTTGATATGTCCTATTTTTGTGAAGCATTGTGTTGAAAGTTTCATATAGTGATTGGATAATATATGTAATTAGTATTGTATATGAAAAAGTTGTGTGTGATCATATAGGATAATTAACTTGTAAATATGCTCAGGCTAAACCTTTGACTAAAGAGTTAGCACCGTGGTGTAGTTATAAGAAATATTATTATTGATCATGTGAATCCCTATATTACTACTTTTGATTACATATTTTTTATCAACTGTCACTAGAAAGTGCTAATAGGATTGGCCGGAGGCCTTTATAATTGTTGTGTGCAGTGTAAAATCCATCCTCACTAATCTACACTTAATCACATATATGATACTCTACCATAATAATTAGAAGACAAATAATCATATTGTAGAATTATGATGATAGAAAAAGTTTAACTATAGTTAAAATAAGCTAATTATAAACACAATTAAAGACCTACTATTACTATAGTTGGAAAAAAGTTTAACTTATATAATATAATATTTAAGATAATACTTTATCATAGTGGTAGAAAGGAGTTTACATCATGATAAAAATAATTAAACTAATTAAGTCACTAGAATGTCTATTGTTATAGAAAAGAAAAAAGCTACATACATTGAGCCTATTACGGTAAAAAAGAATTTTTCTTAATAATTCAAAATAAAATTAAACATTCTACTATGGAAGAAAAATTCTACCATGATAAATAAAACACAAAATGATTTATAAGCTATATCATAGTAGAAATGTGATGCCAAAAAAAAAATGAATCTGATTGGTATGGTGTTCTTATCTCCATCTACCTTGACTCAAGTGTTGAATCTTGATAGAATTATAGCTTTCAATTTTTCTGTTAATTATACTAGTAATGTTAGTTTGTTTAGATCAGGAAGGAATTGGTTAATTGCTTCATTTCTTTATTTTTATTTTTGTGCTTGAACTGGTTATTGTTTTTTTTTTTGGTTTTTTTTCTTTGTGTGTTTTTATGTAATAGGTTGTATTTGTAAGTTTTTTTGAGTGTTTTTTTAGCTTCGACTATTAATGTGGGTATTATAATTTTTTTAATGATTAATAAAATGGATTCTTTTTTGGCAAAAAAAAAGAACCAATGTAGAAATAGGATTCTAAAATTATTTAAATCAAAAACAAAGTAAAACATAGTTTAGAACTTAAAAATCCTTTGTAATTGCCGTCCTTTTTTCACTGTAGTTCTACAGTGATTGGATACACAAAATTAAACCAACTTATTGAGATCTATGGGGCCTGCAAGGATACTTCTTTCTCTCCATTTCTCCCATCTCAATTATATATATTATTTTATTAAACAAATTTTTTAAAATGATAAAATTAATGAATGATTGAGATGGAAAAAATGGAGGAAAATGAATAGAAAGAAGTGGAGAGATTTCTCTCCCCATGAAATCCTCATACTGTTGCAGTGGGTGATGATGTTTTTATTTTTATTTTTTAATTTGCTTCTGTGCCTTCAATTTTTTTTTCTTTTTAATGTGAGTCTAGAAAAACCTGGCCTCATCATTTTTTTGCCTCATTTAGATATTATACGAAAAATTAGATGACGGACATTGCAAAATAGTGGGTGTGAAACAAGCAATAAGATTGTAAATTTAATTTGCACGGATCTTGTTAAAAAGATAAGTTTGCAATCCTATTAAAAATTTTTACTGTTTTAAATTTTAATTTACACATGATAATAAATTCTAAATAAAATATTTTATTGTTTTTACTCTTAGTAAGAACAAGATAATAAATTGTAGAACAAAATAAATTTTTATACTTTTAGTATGTATGATAGCAACAAATTATAAAAATAATGTGTTGTTTAAAATAACTTCTAATACAAAGGGACATAGGGTAAATTTATATTTTGCAACTTAAAACACTATTATTTGTTGTAAAATTATCAAAGACAATATTTAATCAATGTAATTTAAATTAAGTTTTATTCATGTTTGGTTGTTGGAGGGGGATGAACAGGAGTGGAGGTGAGGATAAGGGAGATTTTGACAAATTTAATTTTTTTTAATTGATTGAATTTAAAAATAGAAATAAGATGCAAAATAATCGATTAAAATTTTCAACCTTACTTCTGATTTTTTTAAAGAAAAATTAAACTTCTGAAAATATCTCATTCTTTTCTTTTTCTAGCACAGGATAAAATATAGTAAGAATATAGCGCATTTAAAAAGCATAGGAAACAATTCGATTGAAAATAAATCAAATCAAGGCTTGAAGGGGCGAAATTGTCCCATCAGGTACGTTTGTCACGGTGGATTGAAAATTGATGTAATTAGTTTTAAATAGCTAAACAATTTATTATGATTCATATTTTGATTTTTTTTGTTAAAAAACATACTGACATTAATTAGTCAAATTTGTAATTACTAATTAGTACTATCAATTTTGTCCATTGCATGTATGATTGGCCTTAATTAATTATTAATTATTCTTTATAAAGAATGTGAACATTAATTATTGAAATTTTTAATTACTACCATGTCAATTTATTCAATGCATGCATTAATTTTTATGATTAACAAAATGATCTAGTTAATTAGTGTTAAGTAGTTGATAAATTTTTAGTTGAGTCAATCATATTAACCTGCTTAATTAAATAATGGGACTCGTAAAAAAAAAAAAAGTAACACTGATTGAGTGGTCTAATAAATCAAATCAATTACATTAAATTTGAATTTCTCATTAACATTTAATGTTAATTAAAATTGCGTCAATCAATTATATTCCATTGAAATAAATTAGGATAGGAGGTTGACTTAGTATCTCAATGGATATGATAAATGTCAGGAAAAACAGTGACATAATGACATACTTCAACTACATGATTTTCATAATAAAGCTCTTTCCGTTAAAAAATGTCAAATTAATATCATTTATTCATATTTATTTTTATTTAATAAAATTATTTAAAAATAAGTATAAAATGATTTATTTATTAAGAATAATTTTAAAAAAATACAATAATTATACTTTAAAACTCTAAAAATATCATATAATTTTAAACACATGAACTCTCAAAAAATCTCTTATATTTTTTAATAAAGGGAGTAAACATTTTAAGCAAGATTTAGGGTTTTAAAATGAAAGATTTAGCACATGGCTATTGAAAATATGCTAGAGCAAGGTATCGGAACATCTTAATTATGAGTAACTTAGTTAATAGTATCATTCATGCATCCATGCAATCCTTCTGGTGGGCTTTGGCACAAGAAGTTGTGGTTAAAATCTTATGATACCAATAACTTCGTATTACACTTATAGAAATTTAAAATATTGAAATTACTTTGTGTTATGAATGATATTATGGGTAATGTTTCAAACTAGTGGATGGTTGTTTGAATAGTTTAAAAAATTGTTGAGATTCAAAGTCTCACATTGTATACAGTGTTAAATGATTTTGTCTATTTAAAGTTAAATAGATATGTTTATTAATGTTAAATATGTAGCTGAGGAATGGCAATTACAGTTTAATATAAATACGTCATTGAAATTCAAAAAGATACGTCTTTCAACATTTTAGAGAATGTATCTATGAATTTCAAAATAGAGAATGTTAAGATATATTGACATATTTATTAGAGACAACTTTTGGAGGCACCTTTTTATTATCTATAAATTCTCTCTATGCAAAGGAAAAGTGCAAAGAATATTTTGTGTGTTCCAAAAGGCTTTGTTGTATCTGCTTGGAAGAGTATTATTGGAGCTGTTTGAAATTATTTTTATTTTATTATTTTAAGAATTGGTGTTCAGCAGAACATGTTCTGAGAACAAAAAAAAAAATAAAAATAGGTATTTTTTTTATTCTCTCTTGTTCTTCAGAACAATAATCACAGAACACTTAAAAGTTGTTTTTATTTTTTTGTTCTCCAAAATAATATTTTATTTTTTTTGTTTTCTAAAATACTTTTTGAAAATACGTTATCAAATAGATTTTTTTGTTCTTTTATTCTGGAGAACAGAAAATTGTTCTCAGAACAAGTTTCCAAACAGGCCCATTATCTCTTATTCTTATTATTAACAGATAATCACTCTTTTTATCATACTGCGTACTTTTCTTATTTTTAATACTGACTGAAATTAGAGTTTTGTTTTTTTCCAGATATCATATTTTAACTATTCTATACTTCCATTCATCACACTTCATGACTCATTGACTTTTATTATGTTGATTCAGGAGCCATGTACTTGCCTGATGATATAACACTTGAGATCTTCTCATGGTTACCTGCAGAATCTATTTACAAGTTCAAATGTGTCGACAAGTTCTTCAACGCTCAATTTTCAAATGACACCTTATTCATCAAGAAGCAATCAAAGAATTCCTTGCTAAGGGATGATGATTCGTGTTTCTTTATTCAACCAAACACAAATCAAAGATACAGTGCAACAACTGAGTTCCACCACCTGTGTCCAAAGAAGCCAGCCTCTAGTGTCTCTAATAAATTTTTACAATTTTTAGAACACTACCCATCTTTTAGAATTGTGGCTTCAAGTAATGGCTTGATTCTTGGCCGTAATAATGGAGAGTTATTTATGTGCAATCCCGTGACACAATCATGGCTTCCCATTTCTACTCCAAATAGTTTGAACAAATATCCTGATGCTGATCTTAAACTTGCATTTGAGTGTAACCTTGAAGATTCACATGATGATTTCATGTTATTTTTATTTGAAGTTCAAGATGAACGGGCTTCTCAGTATCATGATGTGAAATTCTACTTTAAAAAGGAGGGTATGTGGAAAGCAACTGAAACAAGCTTTTTCACTGGAGCTAGATCCTTGAGGTTTGACATGCATGTTTATCACAGAAAAGCCCTCCATTTTATATCAGACTGTTCAGCTTTTCTTAGCAAGAAGAGTCCTTTTTTCAGGCCATATATAATGGCTTACAATGTTGAGGATGGAAGGTCAAGAATGCTCAGGCTTCCAAAAGAAGCAAGAACTGGCTCTCATGACTCGACTACCCAAATGGGTATATATAAATGGGGGAAATCAGCAAGTCTGGATCAATCTATTTGCTTAGTGAGATTAAGAAAGAATGTGTTCACTGTCTGGGTTTTAACTGATTATGAGGTTAACCAATGGAGAAGGATTTTGAAAATAAGGGTGGAAGCAATAATAGGTTTGAAGGATGAAGAAGAGCCAATTATTGTGACAGGATTCACTGTTTCGAATGGCAAACAACTGATTTTTGCTACAAAAATGAAGGTTTATGGCTTTGGATTGAGTGAGGATAATTACATGATTGTTGAAGAAGTCTGTGAACATGGATTTGAATCCGACTCAGTTTGCTTCACTTGCTACTCAGATACTCTTCATCATTGTGGAGATGGAGCCACAATCTTTCCATTGTTGCCGGGGACGACATAGCTAAAATTTAGTTATTAGGGAGGCCAAGTTTTGGAAAGCATATGTAATACAAAGTTTATACAATCTTTAAAAAGAATTAAAAACTCATAGGCCATGTACCCCGCCATTCTTCCCTCCTTATACCATGAATTACTACAACCATATTAATCATTTTGTAATGTTGAATCTGTTGTTTTTTTATATGATTATTTAAATCAGATTTAAACGTTGTCGTGTCTAATTAAAGGTACATCTCTTTAAGGTTTTTTTTTTTTTTTAATGAATGTAAAGGAGAAATCATGGTCTTCGCTTGTTTTGAAGGTACATGTATTGTTTTAAGATTTTCACAAATGCACGGGGTTGTGAAAAGTAATACATATAGAGTAAAGTATCGTTTTTATGCAGATTTATCTAAAAAATATTACCATATAAAAAACATTGCAAATTCAATTTAGTCAAGCAAATTTAGAGTGTGTTTGGGTAAACCACATTCCACTTTTGGAAAGGACTTGATATTTACGATGTGAAAAGTTGTTTCAGTATCAAATAATTGAGAAAATATGCTTTTGAAAAGTATTTTTTAAAGTGATTTGGATGTGAATTTACAAAAGTAACTTAAGATAGAATTTAAAAAGTAGAATATTATTTGACTATGCTACTCCTTTAATATATTTTTCCTTTATTTAAAATATATTGTTAATTTATTAAAAATGTAATTATTATTTAAATGATTATTATTATTAGAGATCAAGTTTTTAACATTATAAATTAAATAATTAATCTTGTTAATTTTTAGGATTGATGTATATTCAACTATTTATATAATTTTTGTCCAATATATCAAATTTTATATTTTATACTGTTATTAGTTAATATATCAATGATGTTAATTGTCAATATTAAAATATGTTGAACTATTTATCATATAATTTTTTTAATATATCAAACTTTATATTTTTTTTTATTTTTATCATTTAACACATTAAATTTTAACGTATTTAAAATTTTTATCATATTTTTTAAATATTTTAAATATATTACATTTGTATGATAAAAATTATAAATCATCATAAAACAATGTTTTTTTTAATAATTGTATATTCAAAAGTATATTTTATTATCATAACCCAAACAACTTTTAATTTACTAAACTGACTTTCTACAAAATGTATTCAAACATAAATTTTATTATAATAACTGACTTTCACTAAACTATCTTTTATCAAATGAACTTTTGACAAATGGACTTTTAACAAATTGAAAACCAAATACATATTTAATTGGCCAAGGTTGATTGCTTAAATTATGTTAAAAATTATTGCGGTTAATTTAGGCTGGGAGTACATGCTCTGGAATTGGAGGGCTTGATTAGGAATCATTTCCCTAGTAAGAAGTTGATGATTATTATAATGTAGATGCTTTTCTAAAAACTCATGCTTGGCTTAATCAAGGGTAATTGACAAGCCATGATGCATGTTACTGTCAGTGTGTTGAATTGACTTGTTATTGATCATGTGGTGTTAAGTTGATTGCCGACTTCTTGTTTAGTTTCTTTCAATGACTTTATTGTAATTGGGACATATGTCGTTACATGGTCTGAGCTTGTTAACTCGTCATCAAACTATAATAGTTATGTTCATTCATCAATTGTGTAACAATTTCATATTTATATTGTTATATATAATATTATTTTTATTTAATTATTAGGTTACTATTTCAACCACTTAGCCATCTAACTGGTTAAATCATAATAACTATAAACTAATAGCCTTTTCGATTCCTTACCTAGTCTGGCTTTTAACATATTGCTTACATATTCAAATCCCTAAATAAAAACAACCCCTCAATCAAACAATGAAATAAAAGTAAATTTAGAATATATTACAGCATCAAATTTCCAAATATATATATAGTCACTCAATTAATTAAATAAAAATAACTTTTAAAAAGGAATGAATGACACTGTGAAACAAATTAAGATATTAAAAATAGATATGTTATTGAATTGATTGAAGCATTAATTTAAAAGTCAATAGTTTAATTATAATGATACTGGTTTAAGATAAATTAATATATTTTTAGTTTTATATAGAAGATCTCAAATAAATAAATTACAATATAAAATTTAAATAATAATAAGAATAAAATTAAAAAAATATTAAATAAAAAATGTGTGGTATATGCAATAAATATAGGAAGAATCGCACTCCAAGCCCTAAAATAGCAAAAAAAATTACTTAAGCCTAATACATTTTGATATTGCGCTGTAGGCCTAAGGGTTCTTGTTACAATTTTTCTTGAAAGTGAAAGTATAATTTTGCCTTTATGTAATTTAAAATTTTAGATCATGTACAATACAATATCTACAAATGCACAACATAATACCCATAGATACACAACACGATATCTATGGATACACAACACGATATCCATGCATGTTCAATTAATCTGTAAGTTAAAATATACATCAGACAGAGTATGTATAGTACAATATCCATGAATACACAATATGATATTCATGAATTTTCAAAACAATGTCCATGCATGTCCAGTTGATTTATAAGTTAATTAAAATAAAATCATGTGGAACATATACGACATGATGTCTATGGATACATAAGGTGATGTTCATAAATTCTCAATATAATGTTTATATATGTCCACGCATGGACATTTAGTTGAAAATGCATGAACATTGTGTTATATATTGTGTACATCATTTATATATTTTATTAAACTTGCTAATTAATTAGATATACATAGATATCATGTTGTATATTGATGGACATTGTGTTATGCATGATCTAATTTTTCAAGCCACGTTAGGGTAAAATTGTACTTTTTCTCCCAAGAAAAAATTGCAACAAGGGCCATTGAGTTTGTAGTAAAATAACAGAATGTATTGAATTTGCAATGCAATTTTTTAATCTTTTGATGCACGCAGTGCTATTCCCTCATAAATCAACCTGCTAGCCTATATCTTTTTTTTTTTTTATATTATTCAAACCATCTCACATCACATGAATTTCATCTTGAGAGAATGATAGAGAGGTTTTAAAAGGATCAATTAATTTAAATTAGGTCTTAACTGTTAAATTTTAGGAATTTATAACTCAATATTTCAATTTTACAACTCTTTTGTGATGAATTTACAACTTGTATTTCAAATTTTAATAAGAAAAATAAATTTTTTTATGCTTCAACCATGTTAAAATTTTAAAAATAAATTATAAATTCATCACAATACAGTTGTAAAGTTAAGAGATAAACTCATGAATTTTTAAAATTTAACACTTAAAATCCAACTTAAATTAATTAATTTTTTTAGCACTTTTTTGTCATTTTTCCTTACCTTTCTTACCTTTCATCTTCTTCCATTCTTTTTTAGTTTGTTGTGCCTGTCATCTTCTTCCCTTCTTTCATTCTCGTCAGCTTGCTGCCAGATGATTTAATTAAGGTTCAACGTGGACGCTTCTCCTTCCTCATTCTCTACTTCTTTTTCGCTAGTATTCATCAATCTTATTTTTGTTCTGTTTTTCTTCAATTTTCTTATACATTTTTTTACTTTAATAATCTTTATTTGTCACTTTTTGATTGTGTTTTCTGTTTTTTTCATACCTTTTTTCTTGTTGAAACTCCCTCAAAAGTCATCGTTTTAAGCTTTGGGAAGCAAAATAAAAATAAAAATAAAAATCAGAGAGTTAATGGACATTATAGATCATAAAGTATTATGCAAAAAGTACCCTAAACTTTAAATTACTAAAATATACAACATGGACCATAAGCTTCTAAATCTAAAGCAAATTATTCTCACCATTAACTTATAAATAACGCTATTAACTTATAAATAATGCTGTTAATTGTTGACTTTGTGGGGTCTAATCAAATATTGATATAGTAGTTGTTTGCTTATGAGTCATTAGTTAATGAGCATAGCAGATTTTAAATTATTGCGAGCGTAGCATCTTGAACCTTAAATTTTAAAATTCAAACTAAATTATTCCCACCATTTATGTGTAAAATGTGAACTATTATGCAAATTAAACTAACCTTAATGTGATCTGTCGTAGTGAACAACCTATAATTTTATGAAATGACATTTTTTACTCCTTTTTTCAATGTTTTTCAAATAATTGGTATATCATACTTTTATATACTCTATAACTTTAATTTACTCTTATTTTGAATAATATTTAGTTATTTAATGGTAAAAACTTGATATCTCATTTAAAAAGGAGTTTAATTATCAAATGATTTTAATTAACTAATTGATTTGGGTTTGAAATTTGTTTATAAAATTTTCAGCTTTCGCATCCATCATTTAAGGCTAATTTGCTCTACATAATAGTCAATATTCTACACATAAACAGTGGAGGTAATTTGTTCTAAATTTTAAAGTTTAGGATCTAGAATACTACTTACGTAATAGTTTAGAGTCCGTGATGATTACTAACCGATGACACATTAGCAAAGAACTACCATGTCAAAATTTGTCTCACAAAGTTAACAGTTAACAACATTATTTATAAGTTAATGATGTAGGTAATTTACTTTGAATTTAAAAATTTATGATTTATTTTATACATTTGAAGAATTTAGGATCCATGGTGTTTTTCATGTAATATTTTAAAGTTTAAAATGTTCATTAATTCAAAAAATAATAACCCATTCATGTTAATCTTGCTTATTCTCCCACTCAAATGCATATTACAAATCAGTATATAACTGGTAGTATATTGCGAAAGATGAGTGGGGATTTTTTACAACTTTAATATCGTGAAATTAACGTGGAAGATGAGTGTTAGATACCTGAAATTAACGTGCACGTGCATTTAAATTAGCTGGCAATTTTTTTTTGGGGGTTCATCAAAATTAGTACAATAAAAAAATTAAATTTAAATGATATCATTGGGTTACACGCTGAGCCCATAGGGCTTACATGGGAGAAAAAGTGTCCAACCTTTTTGAAGAAAAATGTCCAATAAGCTCAAGCCCACAACAAATGGTTGATCTAGCGGCTTATTCCCTCTTCATTTGTGAAAATGGAGGGAAAGTGAAGAGGCAAAATTCAGAAAAGTCTACAATGGTGATACGCCGACTTCGGCTGGACTGTTCCGACGACGACGAAGACGATACCGTATTGGCGCCGCCGCCGCCGCCGCCTCATCTTGAAACGGAAGCTGATTTAGCTCCTCAACATCAGACTGCAACTGATTTACCTCGGAGCGGTGCTGCTGAGCCTCTTGAAATTTCTGACGACGATTTCATTGACGTCTCCGATAGTCCCTTGCCAACTTCTCCTCCGCGGAATCAGCATCCCGGGCCCCAGGAGATTCCTCCATCTTCCCGTTCAAATTCCAGTGAGGATCCTGGCTGTCCCATTAGCGATTCTCTTCGACGCCTCGGGTTGAGCTTGAGGAGAGAATGGCTGGATGCTTGTATTCGTGAACTGGAGAGCTCCGTTCGGGGCTTTCCTGGCTTTGATGTTACTGCGAAGGCGAAGTTGTGTTTTGAACAATTCCTATTTTCTGATATGAACTACTGTGGGAGCGGCGTTCTCCCTGCAAATGTGGATTCCATGCATCTTGTTGATCTCCCTGGTCCGTATGTGTTACAGGTGGGGCTTCGTCATCATCCCATCATTTTCTATTTTTAATTTCTTTCTAACAAAACTGAACAAATTGCTTATTTCTTATCGACTTCCAAATTATCGCAATTTGCATTGAAGTTAGGGGAAAAAAAACTATGGTATCGTGCGTTTCAAGTCATAATTTATGTTGTTATTGTATCTATTAGTTATCAGGTTGTAGTTTCAAGTGAGAAGTAACCGTAATTTTGATGCTGGCGCAAATGCTTAGAAGCTAAAATGATTGCCTGGATAATTTCTTTCTCAATTTTATTTTTTCGACCCTACATTTGAAAGCATTCTTTCTCAAAAATTCCACGGCATCGCAGGTGGCTGTGACCCAAATTATAACTTTTAGTGACGCGGTTCAAGGGTTCTTGTTTGGATGGCTGCTAGAGCAGTCACTAATGACGTTATCTATTTTCTGATCATAACTATTACACTCAGATGTGGAAATAGTAAAATCACATGCTTATTAATTTGGCAGGTTGATGAAATAATTAATATTAGCTGTCCGCTTCGTGGCAGATATCAACAAGCAACCCCTGGACATAAAAGGTGCTTGAAGTTATCTATGACTGATGGTATCCAGAGGGTCTTTGGAATGGAATACAGACCCGTTCATGCTCTTGAAGTCTGTGCTCTGGCTGGTTTGAAGGTTGTTTTGTCTGGTGACACCCTTCCCCCCCCCCCCCCCCAAAATCTGAGTATATAGAATTGTTGCGCCTGAAAGGGGGAAAACAGAATTTTCTGACTCCTCCTTGAGTGAGGCTGACTTATTGAGGTTGAGATTGTTAAAATTCAAATATTGTATAGCATAATTAATATGCATGGCTGTCATGCAATTTAGCTGGAGATATTTTAATCTTATAATTGTGCAAACGATACTCAAAATAATCCTCATCCATCATATATGTGGCTATGCCATTAACTCATTATTTTTGCCTAAGAAAAATACTTCTTTCCTTCACTGACTTTTAGCAAGTGCTTCCTCAATTAACACATTTTGTCCTGTGTGAATTTAATGAAAAAAAAAATGAAGTAGATAGTTAATTTTTGCATGTGTTAGTGTTAGTAAATCCATTTTCTTTTTTCCATTTTGGTATTGGCTAGCCTAAATTGGTTGTAGTCCATCTTAGTTCTCTCTTTTGTGCCTTTCCCATTGCTTTATCAATTCTTATGTCTTTTGTAAAACACAGAGGACTTAAGTTCTTCTTTTTCCTTGCTAGCAAGGGTGATACTGAAGGATCTTTATTAATTATACTCATAGGTTGCCATCTGTAATGTACATGTACGCCATGGACTTCTAATGCTGGTCCCTGAAACCATAGAAATCTTGGGGGGATTGGTCAAGCAGCTGGATGAAGCACGAAAGCGGCTTGTTGATGAATTGAATAAACCACCGAGGGGAAAAAGGTACACTTTGTTATATCAGATGATCTGAACAAAGGCGTGTAACTTAAATTATATAATAAAATGAATGCCGCCCTAGTGCAAACTGGAAACTGGAAAATTTTATGTTATTTCTTTGTTCTTGCATAATGTCATGTTTAGAGGAAACCATTGCTGGATAATTGTATTATGTCAATTTACTTTAACATAAAGACTCATCTAAAACCTTGCGGATCCATTACTGGAGCTTCCTTTAATTGTATTAATCTTGATGTTAATAAATGTTAGTGTTGTCTATGGGTCTGATGGCCATAATTCTCATGGAAATTAAAGGTTTTTTTAGAACCTAAATTTGCTGGTTGATTAAACTATCTCCATGATCCTGAAGTGCAGAACAAAGAATGGAGTGCTTCCTCCCTTGACAACTAGAGCAACTCTTGCTGCATGGCCTTCAAGGGGAGCCGATAATATTGCGAGCAGTAATTCTACTGTGCATGCTGCTCCTTCAATTCAAACAAACAATCTGAGTATGCTTTAGTCTTACTAACAACTGAACTTTTTGTTTGCATGATTGAAGTTGTTTGTCATCTGATACATTTTCCATGCCTGTGAAACTACAGATGCTAGCCTGAGAATGTCTGATGCTGGCAACAGCTTAACTGCAGATACTCTAGCCATTAACGCTCAAAATGCTGCTTCCAATTTAATGCCTGACATGGTTTCAACTGCAGAATTCATGCATGTGGATACACGTGCAGATTCTATGGCTAATCAATTCTCTTCAACCATTGCTATGACAAAGGAAATGGATATAAATACTGTTAACATAACGGGGGCAAATTCTGCTGGCAACCTATCTTCTCATGCAGTTTCAAATGTCATGGGAGAACACAGTAATGATACCATTCATGTAAGAAGACAGAACTCTGTGGCTGCCCAGTGCTCTCCTATTGCTCAAAATGTTGAGGAGAGAAAGAGGGATAGAATTCCAATAATAACAGAGAATGCTCTTGTCGGATCCTCCTCCAGGGTTTCGAATATTGATGATGTCCCTATGTTTGAGGCAGATGATCACCCGCTGATGCTGTCTGGAGACCGGGAAATTCCTTTCACGTACTTAGCCAGTTTGTCAGCCAAGTGGGCCACGATGAAGGAGAAAGCTCCTTTTGTTCGGGGAAAAGTTAAGGTATAGTGTTCTTTCTTGGATGAATATTCTGTTGAGCAATTTTCTTAATATATGAATGTCATCCAAGGTTTTACTATTTTTATCTAAAATGCATTTTTTGTAGTGCTTTTTGACTGGTGTCAAGGGATTCCAATATAAGCAGAGGAAAACATATGAGCTTCAAGCATATGTTGATGATGGTAGCCTTATATCTGAGATTATCATAGATCATAATGTAAGTCTGCTCGAATATTAGATTTTTTATTATTGACATTGTCTTCCTCATGGTAATAATTTGATCATTTATTTTTGTTTTTAGATTGTTCAGAAAGGGATTGGCTATTCTCCAGAGGATGTCACTGTTGCTCTTTCTTCTGAAGACAAGAAAATAGTCCAAGACATGAAGGAGACTATGCGTAAATTCCAATATTTTTTAGCAAACTTCGAGGTAGTACAATTTATCACATTTTAAGATTTGCTTGGACATTCTTTCCCAGCTTGTTAATTCATTTTCTCCTTGTATTTTGTCTTAGGGGGTAATGCTTTTGGAATTAAATGCGAAGTCTTTTCCAATCGCCATTGAGATGAACCAAGGCTGTCCACCATGTGATGCATGGTTACTTTTAAGAAGGCTGAGGTCCTTATTCCCTGGGCGAGCTCAAAGACATAGTTCCCCAGAACCCATTGTATTATCCCCTTGATTATATCCGAATGGTAATCGCCTCAGAATTTGATCGGGAATGAATAGTTGGTCTCAGAAATTCATCACTACGAGCACACATGCGATGCTGTCCTTCATTTTAGTGTAAGATGAAACCGATAAGTATTCACCTTACTCTGACCAAAACTTACCTAATCTTGTGAAGAGGATATTATTATGTACAGATGATGACCATTTATCAGGCTGTAGATGAGAAACAGAGATCAACCATCGACTTTGTCATGATAATTCTTGCTTTTGGGTTTTGTTGTGCTGTGGTTGGACTGAGGAGGGATTCAATTCTGAAGGATGAGATGCCAAGTTCTGTCAAATTTGTTCATGAACATGGGCAGCATTGTAAATATAAATATTTTATTAATTTATTTTACTGTACATTTTCGTGACAGTGATTTTAGCATCGCAGTTTTTTAACTAATTAAATTCTTGAATGCTTGCTTACAGTCTCTTCTTGTTCTGTTCATCACCCCGTTAAACTAGAATCCCCATAAGTTTTACATTATGAAGTGGTTGCTTTCTCAAAAAATGTTTCAGTTCCGGCATCTTAAAGACCAGTTTCCCTTTCTGAATAATTGTTTCATGATTGGAAATTGTACTTTTAAATTTAATATGTTACAGTTGGGCTTGAGCTAAGTTTCCTTGACTACTGACTTGCGGTGTGGATATTTCTTCAAACCATTTAGTTGGAGTTTCTTGCTTCATGGAAAAACCTTTTGTTAATTGTACCTCTCTCTGAAGGCCGAGATTAGCCTCCACTTGTTCCAACAGCTCCAAATATTTCAGGACTAAGCCTACCAATAGAGTTCTAACGGTATGTTTGCTACGTAGAGTGAATTTTAAAGAAATGGGGGTGGGAATGGGTTTTAAAAATATATTTGCTACGCCATAGGAATGCTTGAATAATTTTTATTTGATGTATGCAATTATAATAACAAAATACTATAATACCCTTATTGAAAAAAAAAAATTGAAAATCTTCAAGAGACCATCGTGTATAACCATGACCTCCAGGAAACCGAAAAATTGAAGGCATCAAGATTAGCAAAGCAGCATACTCATAATCCAATATTTGCTTCTTGATCTTCGCTTCTCTTAGCCAAGCTAAAACCAGAATTTACGTCTCCAAAAATGCGTCTCAACCTGAAGCTGGCAGAATCGACAACAGCTTAACTTTCAAGGGCCGGACAACTTGGGTCAAATGCCTAGGCGGGCAATTTGACTGCAATACTACAGCAAAAAAAATTATTTCCTCATATGCTATATTTTTAAAAGTATTTTCCTATATACTATAAATTTAAAAATTAGCTTGATACATACTGAGTTCCAAAATTTTTTCTTTAACATAAAATTATAGAATTTGACTTCAATCAAGCCAAGTTCTATACTTTATTTTTTTAAAAAAGTTGATGTGATAAGCTAACAGTCTTCTCTCTATTATTTTCTTTGCGTGAATAATTATCTATTTCTCCTTATTTTTTATTCTATTGTTCAGTATCTTGAAAAATTTGAAGGTATTACCACCTCCTGCTCAGACTATCACCTCTCAGCGTGCGTGATTGTTATCCATGCAGATTTGAATATGAATTTTATATTTATAATATCACATTTTCAATCTGACATTTAAAATTCATGTGTTCAAAATTATTTATTTGGGTAATTTAAAAAGTTTCAAATGAAAGAGAGAGACAAGTTGATATTTAAAACAAAGATAAAAATTGAAAGTGATGTGTTAATTTCTCTCTTTTAATTGATGAGAAACAAGTAGCAATAAGAAAACGTGAAAACATCAATAATAAAAATACGAGAATGAAATGTTTGAAGTGATTGAAATTTTAATTGACTACACTACGAAGGAAAATTGAAATTACAGAAGAAATAAAATAAAAAATAGATAAATTTGGATTTGGAACTTAAATTTTTGTGTACCAAAAAAAGATATTTGATTAAACCCAAATTCTCATTAACCCAAATAGACTTGTATAAAATCATTAATTCAAATTTCTCATGTTTTTATTATTGATGTCTCCATGTCTTCTATGAATATTAAAAATATAAGCAAAAGTTTATTTATTTATTTAACAAATTATTATCTTTTATTTTCTCTGAACCACAATATAAATTATTAATTAATTAATTTATGTTTTTTAAAAAATTGATTAAAATTTTGATTTTCTAATTTTTCTTACATCGAACTGTACCCTTGAGTATTATTTTCTATTGTTGCTATTATAAGGCATGTCTAACTATTTCACAACAATTAAGAAGATATGGTTAAATTATTAAATTTTTTTTTAAAAAAATAGAATAAATTTCCAATGGTACTGCTATTTAAATGAAAGTTTTTTAAATTTACATTATATTCTCTTTCATAGTTAATGAATTTAAATAAGAATTATTAAACAAACATAATTAATATTTAATAGTCCATCAGGTATCTTATATTAAGAATAAATTTTTTTCCTTGAAGGTGCTATATAATAGGGGCTTGAGGGAGTGTAAGAAAAATATATAAAATATACCCAATATCTTAATCTTTGGAGCAAGAAATTTTGTTTAACAAATGTCATATATTATAATCCGTAGAAAATACATATTAAAATTTTTTTGTATGTTCATTTTTTTAGCTGTAGCCCTACTTTGGCCGGCCCTCACATCACATGTTCTTAATATAGACCCCACCACTCTCACTTTTCATGGCTATATAATTTTTTTTTTTTAAAAAAGTGTCAAATATTTTTGGCTCCAACATTTTACTCCAATTTTCAAATTGAATTTTAAAACTATTTTTAGGGAGAATTTTATCAAAGGACTAATGATATAACTTATTTATGAATCAAGCTTAAAATAATTTGAAATATCATTATATATATATATTTTTTGTCTAAATTGAAATTTAATTGTGAAGTTAAATCATCAGAATATTGTTGGTAAAAAAAATCATCAGAATATTCTTTTTCAATTAAATTGAACAAGAAATATAATGAGATAATGGGACTGCTAGGAGCTGACTTTGCTGTATGGGGTTAAGGTCAGGGAATGGCGCCGTCTAGTAACAAAGTTATGTTATGAGGAGAAAAAAAGGGAAAAAATACCAACATACTATGTAAAAATAATAATTACCAAGATACTATAAAAAAAAATATTTTTCAAGATGCTATAGAACCACAAATTGGTTTGATAGGAATCGAGTAGAGTCAGGTATAATTTCACACAACTTGGTTTGATTAAAGCTAATTTTCACAACTTGTCTTCATTAAAACCATTTCCTCCTACCTATTTCTAGTCCAACCCATCATTAGCTAATCATTAATTTTATTAACATAATCATGATTATAAAATAATTATTTTTATGGTTACTAATTTATTTTCTACAAAAATAATTGATGGTTTAATCATTAATGAAATGATAAGCTACTAAGTAAATTTTTTATTTTAGATAATGATAATTTTTTGTAATTAATTTAGATTAAAGTAGAATAAATAATTATTTGAAAAATATAAAATAATAAATGAGTCAATAATAACGAAAGGCTATTGTTTTTTCAAAATAATTAAAGATTAAATATTTTTACATTAAAAAACATAATCTATATATGATGGCTTTGTGTATCACATCTTGGTCTCCTTATAACTTGTTGCAGTTGCCCTTATCTTGTAAGTTCTTTTTGTTGAAATTTTGATAATTTTGTGGTTGATACAATTGGTGGGGTATTCAAATAAAAAATAGGAGACTTTAGAGGGGAGATCAAATGCTATGGAGTCGTGAATATTTCATTCAAGGGCCCTCCACATTCAAATGTGTAACCATTGTATTCGGCTACAAATAATGGTGGAACATCCAATAAAAAAGTGAGTGAGCCAAATTGTTCAATATCTAGAGAGCTAAACTGGTGGGACAAGGATGATGGGAACATGCAATGTGATTGTGTAAATAGGTTAGAAGAAGAAGGCCTTCTTAATCTTGTTCCACTTCATCTTCAACGTCATTAGGTGGTTGTGTAGATAAATAGTTTCCATGTCTCCGACTTTGTCTTCTTTGAGGAATATGTGGGCGTGGCACATCTATTGCAAGAAGAGCAGGTTGAGAGGCCATTGTGAAGCATTGTTCTCTCAATGCAAGTAATATGTTGCGTTGTCTTAACAAATCCTTTCTTGTTAATTTGTTATAGGTATTTGTAGAGAGTTTTAAAGACTTAACTGTAAACCTTTCATTATATCTGCTTTAAATTAGTTAAAAATATTAATAAATAGGAATATTAATTGTAAAAAAATAATGATAATGAATACTTACTACAAAACCAATTGCAGTAATTCTTAAGCTAATCCAACTTTGAGTATGTCTCCAGTACCATCGCATGTACTTGGATGTATGTGTGATCTAATGGCTTGTTTGATATAGGAGACTCTATAATATCATGTTCCCATCCTTCCTATGTATCGATGAAGTTTGAATACTCCTCAATCTAATTTGATGATGTTCTTCCCCTAAGTTGTACTGTGTGGACATTTCTCAATTTAACTAGAGGAAAAGAAATTGGTTGTTGAAGCCCAAATTGTCTCATGATGTGATCAGGATAGTACCATTCTATTATGTGAAAGCATATTAAGGGACTTTAAGCCCTCCAAATTTGTAGTGTAACTAAACAATAGCTTGGAATAAAAAGTTGCACCAATTAAAAATTATATGGTTTCTAAATTATCTCATCATTATCACGGTCACCACCACTATTTATATAAAAATCATACGCATCTTCATCTTTAAAATCATTCATAATATTTTCAAATGAAGTTTGTAAAGAAGATAATATACTATTATTACTAACATCAAGACAAGGATAATCAAAGGGATGGAAATTTTTTAAGTACAAGCTAAGCCTTCTTTCTTCTTTCATTGGATCTATATGATTGTTATTTGATGAAAATAAAGATATGATGAAGTCCTCTAGTGGTTGTGATTTAGGAAGATCATCAACTTCTACATTTGAAATGTGTGCATATAGCTTTGATCCTATCAAATATCACAAATTTATATGCCACATTTGTTCTATATCAAAATTGTTCTGCAACTTACATGCTCAGTATCTTAGTGGATTTATGACTATTGGATATTTATATACTAGATTGGACACAATTTGATTGGAAAGAAGCTCTAGTATTTGTCTAGCATCTTGCTTTAGTAGGGCCAAAGTAATATTTACATCAATCCTCATTATTCTCATATCATCAAATTCAAATGTCACACCATCTAGATTATTGAAAATTCAATCATTTGTATATATGCACATTAGCTCTTTCTATTGTCCATTTTCCCTGTATATTAAGCAAATCAATATCATGGCACCAAAAAATAATCTAATTTCTACACAATAAATCAAGCACCAAAGCATTTTTTAATAACATTCAAGCATATACATTTTAACAAATGCCAATTTATTTATTTATA